TTGGGGCGCGGGCAGCCTCAGCGCTTTCCCGGAGCGCCGCCGCGGGGGTCGTCGGCTGTTTGAGGGGTGGCCCGGGGTGGGGTGGGGGGCGGCAGGCGAGCGGGCTTTGGCGGGTCTCGGACCCTGAGCGGGTCTGGCCGATGAGTCTGAACTTAGGTCAGGCTGCGGGCACCCTAAAATCCCTTCTCAGTGAAATGGGCAGGTGACAGTTGAGTCCGGCTAGTCCGTGTTTTGCTCCCATAGTTTATAGCTGAGGCCAGTGCTGGTTTTAGCCAAAACTAAAGGGGCTGCAAGTTGAATTTTGTATGCTCTAATTTTAAGTCGTTGGTATTTGTATCCGTCGTGACTTTTATGGTTTCTAAAGGAGAAGGAAGGGATGGAGGGGGTTACCTGATAGAAGGCACGAGTCCAGTGGCTGCTCTTTTTCAGTGTGGGAGAGAACAGCTTTTTAAAAACGTGGTATGAAATGTTCATGTTCCAATTATACTAGAAAATCGTTCCAAAGCTTTAAGTTGACTTGTGAGTTAAAAAAATACAAGTAGAAGGACACTGCCCAGTCGTTGCAGACTCGGTGACGGCCCCAATTGAATGCTTGGTTTCTGCCTCGGACTTGCTGGATCTAGATCCGCAAGACGACCCTTTTCCATATCAGAAACCCAGGCCCAGAGGGGTGCAGTGACTTGCTCCCTCACGTAGCTGAGTCGGTAGTAGTGGTCAGATGACCCAGTGGTCTGAGCCAAAGCCCAGGCACGCCCCTGCCACGATAAAGCCGACACAAGCCTGGATCCGGAGATCCCAGAGGGCCCAGGAGCTGGAGGAACTCGGTGGCTGTTGACCTTTGTATTCTCTGAAGGGAGAGTTCACAAAGCAAAATGAGCATGGAAATAAGCTTTGGAGAAGGCTGTTTAAACCTTTGAAACTGAATTTTTAATCTTTATTAAGATTTTTTAAGACCTTATATTCAGATGAATTTAGTGAGCTGCTAGTTTTATTAACTCAAAGCAAGATTTTACTAGGGAGGACTTAATAGGTCTGATGCACTGTATAAATATGCATTTAAAAACTACAACCACATTTGGAAAAAAATCCTGTAATTCAGGTTTTTCTGTTTAAATTTAAACATTGACTAATTCTTCCTTTGAAGTAGATCAGGCAGGGGCTGGCCCGTGGCTCACTTTGGAGAGCGTGGTGCTGATAGCACCAAGTCAAGGTTTAAGATCCCCTTATAGATCAGGGAGGGTTTTTTTGTCTCCTAAGATCTAAGGGATGTTTTAGAAACTCCCTGCTGTAAAATCACCCTTTTTCTAGTTGTCAGTCTACTTTATTCCTAATATTTACTTACTGGTTAAGATTTTGTCTCTGAGGAGTTTTGAGTACTCCTGAGGGGGGCTTAGTTATCTCCTCATTCCTTGACTATACCCCTAACTGCTGAGTCATTGACAATGAAAGATGTTAGCTTGAGAGTTAAGAGGTTTTTGTTTTTATGTTTTGCTTATTCTATAAAAAGATGGTTACACGCAGAGTGGAAACTCATGTTAAAGATTCTTTGAGCCATTCTAAGTGTACGTGCAGCAGGGCACTTGCCCACTATTGCGTCCAGTGTAGGAGGGGTTACTTGAGTCACGTGGGGCCCCGCAGCTGCCCTATGAAATGTGAATCCAGGCTTGGATTTGTGACCAAGGGAGCACTTATCCTCTCTGCTCCGTTCTGATTTGATTGCCTCTTGTTTACCTCTGAACTGAGAACGACTCCTTGGTAGCCAGACCCACAGATGGAACTGTAAACATTCTCCCTTTGTTTGTACACTGTGAGACCAAATGTTTTTCCTGGGGAGTTAACAGCAAAATTGATTGATCCTGCTCACTTTGTGCCCCCTGATCCTTTCTAGTTAAAGCTTTTGACTAGCAGGATGCTTGTATTTGCTTTTCCTTTCTCCTTAGATATGTTACCATTAAAATTCAGGAGGGAGATAGAGTTTTGTGATGATACTGGGTGACAGTTGCAGGTGGGTGGGGTTGTGCATGACTTCTTCCCCAAAGGACCTACTGTCTTCAGTTCATGAATGCATCCTTACTCATTTACTCTGAAACCGCAGCGATTGCCCCTGTCTCCTCACTTACTGCTGTATCTGCAGCGGGTCATAGGCAACCCACCATGGGCAAAGTTGCGCATGAGGAGAAAAGAAATTTGTATTTCTTTTGGAGAGGAATTGTAGCATCATGCAGTTTTAGAATCTAGATTGTAGCCCAACACATACATTTTACAGATGGTCATAAAGAGTTCAGAGGTTAAGTGAAAAATAAGGCCGGCAACAACTGTTAAGATAAAATCAGGGGCTCTCCATTAAGTGCCATGCTTTTTTTCTGGGAACCTACATGACTGAGAATGCATTAGACAGGTCAGAATTCTGTAGCACAGCCTGACAAAAGGAATAGTGAGGTAAACTAGCTCCTTTTGGAAGCAAGTAACCTGAATTATCTACTTAGTTGACTTTATGCTCAAAATCATTTGCCAGTTAAGTCTCATTTGTTCCTCTCTCAACTAACCTTAGAAGCTTCTAAATGTAAACACAGCAATTTCTTAAAGCCCATCTCTCCTGGGTCAAGAAGCCCTCTGTGTGATTTGGGGGTGCTACTTCTCTCCAGGCTTAGCAGCTTCTCTGCCTTGGGCTTTCTTCTGCCTGCAGCATCCCTCTGTTCTGACATTTATACCCATTTTGTAGGCTATTTGCTGGATGCCTGTCTTTCCCCTGGGCAGTTGTTTTCAACCCTGGCGGCACATCATCACCATTAGAGCTTTTTCAGTATATTTGCCTGGGTTCCATCCCAGCATTCCAGATCAGCATTTTCAGAGTGATGTGGGACTGGGCTTCTGGAGAACAGTTAAAAAGCACTATAGGTGATTGTCCCATCATAGCCAGGGTTGAGACCTGCCGGCCCACACTAGGGTATAGAACTTGGTGCCCTGTGTTTACTCTCCATTTGGGGCTGTGGCGGGCTGTAGTCATTTACTCAGTGTTGAGGACCTGAAGCTGGAATGTATGCCTTGGGATATATAGAGGGCAGTGAAGTTAGGGGATTCCCTGGAATCTTTCACAGTAGAGGTAGTAAGTGCTTTGGGCACCTAGAAAAGCTGTAGGTCAGATGAAATTTTATTTTTTAAAAACAAAGTGAGAGAATAAATGGAAAGTAAGAAGTGGATTAAGAATTCAAGTGTTGGATTATATTTATCTCTAAGGCACACCTGACCTATCAGTTTTCTTTTTGTAATATGATTTAAATATTTGTAGCCTGTTAATCATCTATTTGTTCAGAGGGGAGTTAAGATTGGTTTGCTATGCATCTTGTTAGCAATGTAAATTATAAGTGGGGGAGGTAGGAAATGAGGGACCTAAAATGAAATTAGGAATGAGAGCTTGCCTTGAATCAGCAATATCACCACCTATATCTTTCTGGGGACAAATTATACTAAAGTTATTTCAAATAAATTACTTGTGATTATGTGGAAGTTTTCTGAGGTTAAACACCTTAATCCCCATCTTTTTTGCGTAAAAAATATGAGTAATCCTAATGAATAATTGCAAGATAAAAGTAAGATTAATAGAATACATTTTCTTCATTTCCCAGGAAGTACACTTTCCTACCCAGTTGTTTCAGGTTAATAATAAAACTCTTGTCCCTTAGTAAATCATTCCTTGGAATACAGCTTTTGGACCCAAAGTTTTTTGCTGCAGATAATTCACATCTGAGCTTGCAGAGTACTTGGAATGCTGATGTGTAGTCAGATGAGTGGTTTCAGGAATGATGTGTATAAATCTCTGAAGGTATAGTAGCCTGTGCTACATGGCAGAGACACCTGGGCTTTTCTCGTCCTGTAAGCTCTGGGCTCCAAGACAGATCCTGCCTTCCAGTGTATTAGTAGTGACATGCTTCATTTAGTTTAAGAAAACATGAGAGAGGTTCAAGAGAAAAATCTCTTGAAAATTTGGTTGAAAATTTGTGTAGTCATTTTGTTAGCAGCTTACTGGGAGGCTGTTGATGGTGTACGCTGCAAATCCACTTTTCATTCCTGGGCCTTGATTTGCTTTTTTCTGATGAATATGACATATACTCTGCAAGTGGCTTACTGAGGCTAGGTCAGGACTCTTTCAGAAGAGATGCCTTGTATGTTGGAAGGCTGTGCAGCCTGCCTTTGCTTTCAGCAAACATAATGGATTGATTAATAGGCTGTTCCATCTTCCCCCCTAATTGCATGGTGTTGTATAGTGCCATGTTGTTTAAGGACACATAGCAGCTCAGGGTGATTATTACTTAATAATAAAATTATAGTGACTACAAAATTAGTTCATTCAGTTTTTTTAGTACAGAAGTTTTTTGGTCTTTTGTAATCTGCCTTCACCCTCTCTCTACTGCCACCCATCATCCATATACTACCAGAATTATCTTTTTACAAAGAGATTTGCTATAGATAAAAAGACCTATGGCACATACTTTATTTCTGACAAACGAAGTACCACAGAGCAGAGGGGAAGGCAGAGGCAAAACTCAATAAATGGTGCCTCCTGTTTCAGATCATACCTAAAAATTAAATCCAGTGGGTTTTTAATCTAAATGTGACTGTTGAAACAATAGAACAGTTTGAAAATAACATAATAGAATATCTCCTTTGCTTAAGAGATGGATAAATTTGACTGAATTAAAATCAGGAACTTCTGTTCATCAGAAGACACTGTGAGAGTGAAAGTTATTTGCAACCTGTTTAAATGAAGAAAGGCTTGTGTTTGGAATATAGAATTTCCTCAAAAGTATTATGAATAATTGTATTCCGATGACTTAGCAGATTTGTAGAACATCTGTTGGCATAAAGAAAGGACAAGAGACACAGACACATGGTCTCAGCCCTACGAGCTTGTCTCCTGTATCTAGACAGGTTAATGTAATGCAGGTGCCTGAAGTGGGCATGAGGGGTGTGTTCAAGTAGGGTTCCAAGAGATGATTCATTGTGTCCTTTGGTACCTCTTAGAAATGGAAGGATGGGCTGGTTATGTGTTAGGACCAAATTCCAAAGTGGGTAGAAAATTCCAACTATGTCCTTTTTTGTTCCCATTAGGCTCCTGGGTAGAACTGCACTTTAGCAATAATGCTTGTCTCCTGTATCTAGACAGGTTAATGTAATGCAGGTGCCTGAAGTGGGCATGAGGGGTGTGTTCAAGTAGGGTTCCAAGAGATGATTCATTGTGTCCTTTGGTACCTCTTAGAAATGGAAGGATGGGCTGGTTATGTGTTAGGACCAAATTCCAAAGTGGGTAGAAAATTCCAACTATGTCCTTTTTTGTTCCCATTAGGCTCCTGGGTAGAATTGCACTTTAGCAATAATGGAAATGGGAATAGTGTCCCAGCCTCAGTTTCTATTTATAATGGTGACATGGAAAAAATACTCCTTGATGCCCAGCATGAATCTGGACGGAGTAGCTCCAAGAGTTCTCACTGTGACAGGTAGGTGTAAATAAGTGTCTATATTACAGTGCTAATGTCCTAAGTGGATGAGCAGTCACAATTGTGAGTGCCTGTATGTCCTTGAAGGAGGGTGGTCGGCTTGTGGGTTCAGGCCAAATTTGGGAGGCTCCTGTTGCAGCCCTCCTTACACAAAAGAAACCTGTCTGTCGGGTGGGAGGAAATGACCTGGGGCCCAGTCTTTGGAGGGGCCATGTCAAAGCTAGGGAGCATACAATAAAATAACAATAAAATGGCCCATACTTCTGCCTGGTCATAGCAGCTAGCTGTATGTATAAAGTTGGCAAGTCTGAAAAATCCACTCATAACACCTCAGCAGGGTTCTTGTCATCAGATTGCTGCACGTTCCTGGTTAGCAGCACTTTACGAGTTGAATCCAAGGCAGATTGGCTGAGAGTCAGTGATCAAAGGTCAGATGCTTTCAAGGGCTATTTAATAGACCATGAAGCTGGTGGGTGACAAAGCCAGCCACTTAGTGGCTGTCCTCTTCTCTTCCCGGAAGACTGGCTAGCTGACTCCTTCTGTTGTGCTCAATTGAAAAGATGAGGAGCACTTTAGCCCTGGTCTCATGCTGGGTGGAAGGGAAGATATGTATGCTGGTGAGGTGCTCCATTCTCACTGAAATGGTTCCCTGCCTTTGGGTTTTTGCTTCTAATGATAGAATATTAACATGATGTTCTGTTTTTCCCATTCTGTTCACATCCTTGCCAAGCCCACCTCGGTCACAGACACCACAGGATATTAATAGAGCTTGTGAAACAGATACCCATAGTAGCATTGGAGAAAAAAACAGCTCTCAGGTAAGCTGGAAGGAGGATGTGCAGTTGTAAACATTTGTGGTCTGTTGGTTCAGTAAACAGTTTTAAATGTAATTGAGCAGAGAAAAGTTTGGCTTTTAGGGTATCTTCTGCCTTTTTTTGTTTTTAAACTCTGGATGGAAACATCTCCAACACATAGGCTTCACTGAGCTGACGAGGGGAGGTGCAGAGAGGGAAATGCAATGTGAGCCTCTTGCCCTGCCTGCCATCCAGGGACACAGAAGAGGGGGGTATAGCGTTCCCTTGTGCTTGGAGCGGGAGTAAGTGGCTGTTGGGAACGGGTGGCCGTGAGCCAGCCACTGGGTGCTCCTGCTCACTTGCTTTCTCAGCTGTAGGTTGCACAATAGGTGGGTTTTAATATCTGTAAGCTGTTTGGGAGTCAGGTATTACCTACAGAGCCATTCAGGGTCACTCCACCATTGTGCTTGTGATTCTGGGGTGTCTTTCTCATTAGACATTGTAATTGCTTGCTAGAAATTATGCCCCAGGCTAACATCAGTGTTAACTGGTGTTTGGATAGTATAGCATTAGTAGCTAAAGAGCCTGGTAAGTTAAGTGTGAGATAATTTTTCTAACATTAACCTGACAAATATTTAATGGGTCTTACATATCAGGCACTTAGTATTGTTGTGGAGCCACAAAACCTTCTGAAGGCATAAGTCTATGAGGAAAAAGTATACCTAGGATTATTGCCTTAGTTCACTATAATTCTTTCCCATTCCACTCCTGTGTTGGATTTTAAGGTGATCAATAATACCTTGCTCAGTTATATATCTAGTAGTGCTTTACCTTGTGCATATCAGATGCACAAATAATGTTTTCTGGGTACTTAATAATGGTTAGAACCCAAACAGTTGAATTTTTTTTCTATATTTATCTCCAGAGCTGTCTTAGGAAGCATGGTCTTACAGTTAGTGTTAGTCACTCTTCCTCCCATGCTAGTTTACCCTCAATGTCCCCCTCACCAAGGAAACGAGGAGTCCTTGCTACCCCAAGCTTTCTTTGGTATACCCCCCAACCCCAGTCACAACTTATAAGACTTCCAGAGCTCAGCCAGATATTGGTGTAGCCAGCGAGAGTGAGAACTCTGGCCATGGATGCGCCCAGGGTGTGCAGGCTGCTCCTAGACATTTGGGGTCTGTGGCCATTTTTGGCACACCCAGATATTTGGTAGATTTTTGGTACTGCATTCTCCTGGGTTTCCACTATTTTAAACAATTTCTCCTCTAATTTTAAAAGGAATTAAACGCTCAGGTACAGAGTTCTGAAAATGCAAAAAAGTAGAGCACTTGTAATCCCTCATTTAAACATCCTTTTCAGTTGTTATTTTGTACACTTATATAATTATTAAAATGTAGCAGAAATTGTGGTTATATATTTCTGCTTTTTCTCTCCTGTTTATCATGGAAGCATCTTTTAGACTTGCTTGCTGTATGGTACTGCATTTACTTACTCACATCCCTGTTTTGTGCCATTTTAGATTTTCATTTTCTTCTAGTATAACCAGTACTACAGTCTCCATCTTTGTTCTCATGCCATATTACTTCCTTAGGACAGTGTCTAGTTCTGAGTACCTCTTGAACCAAATGCATTCATACCCTGGGCAGGACTTCCACATTCATACCCTGGTCTATCCACAGAGGAAGGGAGCATGTCCACAGCCGGTGTGCCATGGGGCCCAGGGTGAAGCCCCACCCCACCTGTTCACGACTAACTTGGGGTCACCATCCAAAGAGGATGCCCTGTGCCTCTGGCTTTAGCTCGCTGATCTGATGCTCAGGTGGAAGGTGTATGCTTTCTGGTGTGAATGCAATATGTTAATCTGCTTTTAACATTTATTTTATGTTAGTCTGAGGAAGATTACATTGAGAGAAGGAGAGAAGTTGAAAGCATCTTGAAGAAAAACTCAGATTGGATATGGGATTGGTCTAGTCGGCCAGAAAATATCCCCCCCAAGTAAGTGTTTTCAGTATATTATGGGAACTTCCTTTGATAGAGGACACATCGACTAACACATTTCTTCCTACCCTAGGGAGTTCCTCTTTAAACACCCGAAGCGCACAGCTACTCTCAGCATGAGAAACACGAGTGTTATGAAGAAGGGGGGCATTTTCTCAGCAGAGTTTCTCAAGGTTTTTCTTCCCTCTCTGCTGCTCTCTCATCTGCTGGCTATTGGATTGGGGTAGGTGACATTACTGTATGACTGCTGGCATGGTTGGCATGCCTTGAGGTGATCCTAGGTCTCAGTAATTTATTTTTAAACTTTTAGTGAAGTACAGGTCATAAGTTACAGCATTTTCACAAATATACCCATGCAGTCACTATCAAGGTCAAGAAACAAACAAGCTGCAACCCTACAAGTCTCCACCTGCCCCCTTCAGACATGACCTCTCCCTGCCACAGGGGCAACCCCATCCTGATAGCTTAGCATAGATTAGTTTGCCTGTTGTTTCACTTTATAGAAATGGAGTCAGAACAGGGACTCTTATGTCAGACTTCTTTATCTGTATTATTGTGTGGTGTTTAGATCCCTGTCACTTCTGCATAGCATAGTGTTGTGTGAACGCACTGAGCTGTTCCTTTGTGCTGTAGATGGATGGTCTTAGGAACTTGCTATACAGTTGTCCCTCAGTATCTGTGGGGGATTGGCTCCGGGACACCCTCCCCAGTTGCATACCAAAATCTATGGATATTCAAGTCTCGCAGTCTGCCCTGCAAGACTTGAACCTGCGTATATGAAAAGTTGGCCCTCTGTGTACAGTTTGTGGGGTTCTCCATCCCACAAGTACTATATTTTTGATCTGTGGTTGGTCGAGAAAATTCTGCATGTAAGTGAATATATGTAGGTCAAGGATCACCTGTACTTCCTATAGAACAGAATTGTTCTATTTAACTCTCAGCAATAATGGAACAAACGAGGTTTCCAGTTTTCTGGCTTCTTGTACTAAGTAACTATGCAGAAAACAGGGAGACCAGGCAAGTGCAGCTATGGGTTCTAAAGACCTTTAGCTGACAAGTGCTGGAGAGCCAGAGCAGGACACTGAGGGGAAACCAGAGCTGTACTTTGCTTAGGCTTGTCCCTGGTCACTGTCCAGGTGGGTGTGGTCTCATGAGGCCTGGTGTACAGACTGGAATGCTGGTGGGCTTTTGGTGTAGGTGGGCCAGAGGGTTCATGTCTGGGGCAGAAGGAAACAGGACGGAAAAGTCCCTGTAGCACAGAATCCATTAATATGGCAGATGAGACCTGGTCTGTTTTATGTCTTAGCACATTGGAACTTTTAGATCTCAGCAATTTACACCCAACCCTTGACCTCATTTCCGAACCCCTGTCCCACAGTTCCACCTGCCTGTGGGTAGGGCTTCCTGGGTAGGCCAGAAGTTCCTCAAAGTCACAAAACGAAGCTTATCCACTCAGTTTCCTGGGCTGAAACCCAGTGTTCCTTGTGTTTGCACCTTGCCTCGTCCTGTGTGCATGGTTCTCTCCCAGTGCTCATACATGATGTCCCATACAGCTCCAGCATCTTTATTTTGGCCTGTGCTTATTGGAGTCAGACTTACAGTGTGCATCAGTCTCACCATGGAGTTTGCTAGATGCTGATTTCTGGAGCTCTTACCAGAACTAGCAAGCAGAGACTCTGGGGAAGAGGCCTAGTAATCTGCATTTTCAATGCCCATTTTAGGCATTTGTTTCAGGGTACATTTCTGCAGCTAGATCCCAGCTAGTGTCCTTGTCCCTCATTCTTCCCAGACTTTGGGTGCCATACCCCACCCCAAACCCCTCAGCAGCTACTCATCCTTGTCAGGATAAAATCCATCCCAGAACACTGCTGCCCCAAGTCTGCAGTCTCATTTCTTACCATTCCCCTTTCCTGCATGACCACCCTCCGCCTGCCTCCCCAGGGATGCCTACTGCTGTTCAAGCGTCAGCCCCAGGAAGGCCCTCTCCACTGGAAGCCTTCTTAGGTTTGGGCACCTCTCCCCACTACCAAACTTTGACTGCTTGAGGGTAGAGGCTTCATTATTTAGTGACTGGCCTTGGTGGAGATGGTGGTGATGACTTACAGTGATGACAGCCTGCCCTGGTAGGTCCTCCAGCACTGTGTTGGATCAATTTAAAAATAGTAAAGGGAACACAAGAGCTGTTCTGTGTGGTAATAGCTTTTCAGGTTGGTTAATATTCTACTTTGTACTTGTACTTAGTGCACTGCACTGTTAGAACACAATTGAATGTTTTCTGAGTTAAATGAATATAAAATACGTATTGAATAAAACACTTGATAAGAGATTGTGGAAAGATTCGTCACTAATTTTTAAAAGTTTATTATAATAGGTATAAAAAAGCCAGTCCCCTTCATAAACTATAACATCATGAGCTGCCCTGTTTCTGCTGTGCAAAATCACCTGAGAATCACAAGAATACATTAACTGCCAATTACTTTTTCTATTAAGGATCTATATTGGAAGGCGTCTGACAACCTCAACCAGCACCTTTTGATGAAGAATTGGAACTCCACTTTGTTCACATAGTGGGGATTTATATCTGAGCTTGCAACACAGCTGACTGAAGAGCTATTGTGATCCTTGGGGGGCTGTATCACTTATGTTTATTTGTTCTGTAAATGCTGTGTTCCTAGTGTAGTAAAGTGAAAAAATATAGACACTAAAATCATGCTGACCTATAATTATACGTACAGGATCAGTTAATAAGCATGTCAGACTGATTTAGTATCTACTTTAATAATTTGGTAGTACATTTTCTTTGGATATTAAGTATAAATATCTAAGTATAAATAATTTTAATATACTAGTCGTGATATGTAATATTTTAAAAATTATCTGTAACCTTGATTGAGTTTAGAACACTTTATATTTCAAAAGAAAAATGTTGATATTAAAATCACTACATTTTAAAGGGTTTGTCCAAAATAAATATTGTGGCCTTATATTCACACTATTGTAGAAAATATTAATGTGTTTAATTTAAATGGAAGCAGGTTGTCTACTAAAGACTAAACTGTGCTAATTATTCTTAAATAGAAACCAAGGTACAGCTACAAACTCCACTGTATAGTTCATACACTAAGCTGTTTTTGCTTTTGCAGTGTAACAATTTTAGCTCCTCTGACTTTCAGGTAGTCAGTTACCTTGGAAGATGAGTTTTCTGTTGAAAGCACCTATCCAGTATCTCTTACTCTTCATCACTCTGCATTGATGAATTTAATCTTACCCTTTGTGTTCAACTTTTGTGTGCTCTTTAAAGCAGCTTTATTCTAAGCAAATCTTCGTCTGCTTTAAAAGACTAGACATGGAAAAAAAAAATCTTTGTCATTTGTCAAATCTTTCTGAGACTATGGTATTTATAAAAGCTTCTTGATTAAACCAGGCTTACTCCCTATTAATGCATTCTTTATCTTCTCTACAGCATGATTTTTAAAAAGGCTGCTGCTTTGATATAATGTATTTGTTTCATTTTTCCACATTTAATTCAGGTGTGTTAAAATAAATCTGACATCTTAATTTTTAAAAATGTTTGTTTATATTTAAACTATTACCTTGGATGCAGTAGCATATAGTCCTGTCATTTGGAGAAAGCTGGTGGAATGGCAAGAATTCTGTGTAATTTACCCTCAAAAAGAGTCTGTGAGGTCACATTGGATCATATTGGCTAAGTGAGTTCTCTTGTTTTAGATCAGAAATGTCAGCTTGTTCTGTCTGGAGTGTCCTGACAAAGGGGGCCTTTAGCACCCTTAAAGAGAGTTCAGTGAATCTCCTACTTACCATCTGGAATTGTCACTCAGGCAGTTGGGGCCCCTGACAAAGCCACTCACATGTCTTTCACTGACTGCATCAACTAGACTCTTAAGTGCAACTCTCTGCAAGCACTAGTTTGGTTGTTCCTCAAGTGCTTTAGACAGACTCAAGTTTTCTAGAAGCTTTTTTCATCAGATAGTAGCATTACAGTAGACTATTTAAAATGAAGAAACACGTTTGATCCGTGTGTGTGTGTGTGTGTGTATATCTGCATGTATACAGGTTTGTTTTTATCTTTCAGGCAGGATTATGGCAATATAGTAATAGAGCCTTTCTGAACAGCGTTTACCAACAGTCCTACATCCATCCTACTGTTAGTACAAACAACTGCCTACCCGCACCATTACTCATTTTATTCATTGCCTAGCAAGTTCACAAAACGTTTAACATAATCCAAATTATTTTGACAAGAGAAATTAACATTTGGCTGCTACTTACAGATGCAGTTTTCTGATGCGGATATTGGCACTAACCATAGAGTCTGAGTTTGTAGAGACTGCAGAATATGACACACACTGCTAGAAGGGACACAAATGGCTACAGCTCTCTGGAGAGGGATCGTGTAGTACCTTTAAAAATTATATCTGCACTTTCATTGTGACTTACAACCCACTTCTAGGAATTTACCCTGAAGATACTCTAAAAATTTTGAAATGCACGCATAAGGATATAACTAAATATTACTTATAAAATTAGCATATTAAAATATTTGGAACAACTGAAGTGCCCATTCAGTAATCTGGTACTGCCAACAAGTGGAGTACTATTGCAGTTGTTAAACACAATGTGTAAGAGCTAATGAACTGATAGTGATTTCCAGGATATATTAAGTAAAAAAGGAAATGTGCAAAAGAGTATATGTGTCCCTAACAAAAACGAAATAACATTTGGTGACAGATCTTTGAAACAAAGTTTAGAAACAGTCCCCCAATTTTCTGACAGTCCTCAAAGAGAGATGGTCTGTGTCTTTCCTCTTCGAGTCTGGACTACTTGACCAATAGGACAAGGAGGAAGTGATCCGTTGCCCGTTTCTAGGCCCATTCAGCCTTAAGAAACTGGCACCTGCTACTTCCTGTCTCTTGGGAGCTTGCTCTTGGAACCAGCCTTCACGCTGGGAGGAAGTCAAACTGCCCAGTGGAAAGGCCTACCTGGAAAGGACCAGTGGCCCTTAAACCTGCTAGCCACGTGGGTGATCCATCTGGAATGTCCTCCAGTGCCAAGAGGGGCTATCCCAGCTGACGTCATCTGGAGCAGAGGTGAGCTGGGTCTGGTAAGACCTGCCAGAACTGCAGACTGGTGAACAAAAATACAGGATTGTTTTAAAAAGGAATATTGTATGTATCTTTTATGCAAAGAAAGAGCTAAGGAAAACATACAAATACCTGCTCATTTGTGCAAAAATTCTGGGGTGAATAAGCCAGAAATGATTGAGATTGGTTGCCTACAGGGGAGGGTGGCATAGGTGGAGTGGGAAATTGGGAAGGAGGTAGGAGTGAGTGTGCTTTTTTGTTTAACTGACTCTCAGAATCATAGTAATGCTTCACATACTGCCAAAGTCAATCAATAAAATCAACTTCTGGGGGGAATCCCAAACAATACTAACAATAAGGGAGCCTAATTATTACAAATGCATGAAACCACACTGAAGGGTAGGGAAGAGAAGCACTAACCTGAATAACTAGAAAACAGTACGTGGAGTGGATACCAATACCATGAAGTTATAGTAAACAAAACAAAGATACCGTACTCTTGCTAGTAGATTTGTTTTTCATTAGGGTATGTGTCAGCAATTTTCAAACTGTATATGCTAATATCGAGCAAATAAGTATAGATAACTGCCTGATGTCTCATTGTTGGACAAAACAGTTATATAAGGGAGGGGGGTGGTGGAAGGCTAGCATGAAGCCTGTGGTTTTGGAGTTGAACTGGAGGTATCAGTAATAACTCATAGTTTGAAAAGTAGATGCGTGTATGTACAGACAGTCCCAACTTAATGATGGCTTGACAGGATTTTTTGACTTTATGATGATGCGAAAGTGATGTGTTCAGTAGGAAGCGTATGTTGAGCACCCACACAACCACACTTTCAGTATGGTACTCATAAATTACATAGGATATCCAACACTATTATAAAATAGGCTCTGTGTTAGATGATTTTGCCCAACTGCAGCTAATGTGTTTTGAGCACATTTAAGGTAAGCTATGATGTCCGTAGGTTAGCTCTACTAAATGCACTTTTGATTTACGGGGGCTCTATCAGGACATCACCCCGTTGTAAGTTGAGCATCTCTGTGCGTGAGTGTACATATGTTTCCTAGTTCTGCTCAAAGGAGGACCTAGAAACAACGGCTCTCCACCAGCAGTGAGCCCAGCCAACACCCAGATCCTGGTTTCTGATATCATTCTCCAATAAAAGGAACTGAGGCTCCCTGGAGAAGTGGTTGATCAGGGCTCGAGAAATGAAGACATACTGAAAGGACACAGGGACCAACGTGTCCAATATGAAGGAACTCCCCGTGGCCCAAACTGGCACAATTACAGTAACAAAATCATGAGAGTAATGTTTTAGTCACAGAATAAAGCAGGTGTCCATGAGTCAATACTGATAGACATAGGTAACAAAATAAAAGGAGGGAGGGGACAGTTCTTCCTAATTGAAATCAAATTAATGTAGATAATGTTTTAGTCACAGAATAAAGCAGGTGTCCATGAGTCAATACTGATAGACATAGGTAACCAAATAAAAGGAGGGAGGGGACAGTTCTTCCTAATTGAAATCAAATTAATGTAGAAATATAGAAATAGAAAATCACCATTAGGCAAACACAATAACTGCTGATTCACCAATGGAAACTAAAGTTAGTGGGTGAATAAGATGAAAACGAGGATGTTTTCATTTGTCTCCTCATAAGATACTAATTACAGAAGGAAAAATAGCAACTTTACAATGAAGAAACCCGGTAGATGCCATCTACCTGATTTGATGTGTGGAGAAGGCCACAGCATCTCCTCTGTATTCTTGCCAAAATACATGACTGCAGTTTAATCATGAGGGAATATCGGGCAAACCTCAACTTGTGGAGATCTGCAGTTTGTCTCCTCATAAGATACTAATTACAGAAGGAAAAATAGCAACTTTACAATGAAGAAACCTGGTAGATGCCATCTACCTGATTTGATGTGTGGAGAAGGCCACAGCATCTCCTCTGTATTCTTGCCAAAATACATAACCGCAGTTTAATCATGAGGGAATATCGGGCAAACCTCAACTTGTGGAGATCTGCAAAATAACTGTGCTCTTCTTAAATGTCAAGGTCATGAAAGACAGGAAGAGACTGGAAGACAGACAACTAAGTGCAATGTGGTCCTCAACTGGACGAGATAAAAGAGGACATTAGGAAGATAACCAGTAAAACCCAAAAGAAGGCGTGGAGATTAGCTAAGAGTAATAGTGGTAATCCAGTTTTTGATGCTTTACTAGGTTACCTAAGATGGGAAGCTGGTGGAGTGTACACAGGAATTCTCTATATGATTTTTGAAACCTCTTTAAAATTATTTCAAAGTAAAACGTTAAAGATGATGTAAAGTAAATAGACAATACCTTTTTACTTGAACTTGTGTCCCTGGACTAGTGTCATGAGCATCACCTTGGGGCTCATTAGATTCTCAGCCAGCCCCACTGAGTCAGAAGCTGCATTATCAGCCAGTGCGGAAGCTTCTCAAGCTGGTGGAGAGATGGCCAAGACATGCCGTGCAGCCGACAAGAGCAAGATGCACGAGTGTACACAGCATGCTGCCCTTTGCGTAAGAATGGGGAAAAAGGAATATGTCATATTTGTTTTGTATAAAAAACCTGGAAGTATGCCCAAGAAGCAAGTAAAAATCACCATGAGGGTCAGAGGTAGCAGGACTGTGCCATAATCCTTTTAAGATTTTTGAAATCTGTACAGGTATTACCAGTTTTAAAACTTCATTAAAAAAAAAAACACAAACATTTCTAATGAGAACCATAGAATTATACTGTGTTGGGATATTTAGATTTTGCAGAACAAATTTTCCCATGAAAGTTGTGGGAATAATGTTTTCCATCCTTATGGAACAGACACATTTTAAAAAAAAGTTCCA